CACCCTGGGCAACGTATACTCATACGGCGAAAAGGTCTATCAATCGGTAGCTGACTTATCACTTCAAACTACCATCACCCAACTGTATTACTTCCACAGTACTCATCTCACCTTTTTCCACTCTTGTGTCTGTCTCTTTTACATCTTTGAAACTCTCTTCTGTTCCCCCTCTCCCTCTCGACTTGTTTCACTTTGATGTTCCTTCCCCTCTGTGAAGCCTGAAGTCAACTAAAGGGCTAATGATAACCATCAAGACGCCTGCCATTTGATATAAATAAATAAAACAAAAAACATCCATTCGCATTCCTGGATGCACTTTCAGTAAATCCAGATGTGTCAGTATCGCTTGTATCGCTCGGCTTATAAGTTGGCAGTGGTGCGTTGATGTGACCAGACACAAGAGAGAAGTGAACTCACCATCAATGTTGCAGCAGTAACCCCCAGCTTCAGTGACAATGAGCCAGGCGGCAGCGTAGTCCCAGCAGTGGATGCCGAATTCATAGAAGGCGTCTCCTTGGCCGGCTGCAATTTGGCACATGTGCAATGCTGCAGAACCCATTGTACGCACGCTGAGAAATGTTGAACAGGCAAAAAAAAGGAAAAACAGTGGATTATTGGCTTCATTCGTGGTGCTATGCCGGGCGATTGAAAAGTGCCGGCTTTAAATGTTTGAGAATGGGGGTGTGCGATTGACTTACCTCCACGTAGTGCACCCTGGCCAACCTACATTCATACGGCAAAAAAGTCTATTAACTGGCAGTTGACTTATGACTTCAAACTACAATCACCCCACTGTATGTCAAATTCGACTACTTGACTTCAAACTACCATCATCCCACTCTATGCCATATTCGAGCTTCAAAGACAAAAAAGTCTATTGATCGGCAGTTGACTTCTGACTTGCAAAAAGTCTATTGATCGGCAGTTGACTTCTGACTTCAAACTACCATCACCCCACTCTATATCATATTCGACTATTTTTACAGTACTCACCTCACCTTTGTCCATATTCGACCATTTCACAGTACTCACCTCACCTTTTTTCTTAAATTCGACCACTTCAACAGTACTCATCTTACCTTTTCTCTTCGACTTCTCACTTCAAACTACCATCACCCCACTGTATGTCAAATTCGACCCCTTCCACAGTACTCACCTCACCTTTGCTCTACTGTCGACTTCTTCCACAGTACTAACCTCACCTTTTTTCTACCTATTTCTCACTTCAAACTACCATCACCCCACTGTATGTCATATACCTCTGACTTCAAACTACCATCACCCCACTGTATGTCATATTTCACCACTTCCACAGTACTCACCTCGCCTTTTTTCTACCTTCAGTTGACTCTGACCCCACTGTATGTCATATTCGACTAGGGCAGTTGACTTCTCACTTCAAACTATCATCACACCACTGTATGTCATATTCGACTACTTCCACAGTGACTTCAAACTTCCATCACCCACACTGTATGTCATATTCGACCCCTTTCAAAGTACTCATCTTACTTTAACGGTATCATCACCTCACTGTATGTCATATTCGACTACTTCCACAGTGACTTCAAACTTCCATCACCCACACTGTATGTCATATTCGACCCCTTTCAAAGTACTCATCTTACTTTAACGGTACAAGTCTATTAACTGGCAGTTGACTTCTCACTTCAAACTAACAAGTCTATCAACCGGCAGTTGACTTCTGACTTCAAACTACGTCTATCAACCGGCAGTTGACTTCTCACTTCAAACTACCAATCAGCCCGACTGCTTGTCATATTCAACCCCTTCAACAGCACTCGCCCCACTGTATGTCATATTCGACTACTTCCACAGTACTCGCTGACTCCATGTCATATTCGATCATTTTCACAGTACTCACAGCCCGACTGCTTGTCATATTCGACCCCTTCCACAGTACTCACATCACCTTTTTTCTACCTTTGTGACTGTCTGTCTCTTCTACATCTTTGAAACACTCTTCTGTTCCCCCCTCCCTCTCTACTTTTTCCCTTCGATGTTCCTCCTCCTCTCTGCGAAGCCCGAAGTCAACTAAAGG